TTTTTTTATCTTCTTTTCTCATCCCTTCCAAGACTCTCTAGTCGGAACTTTCTGCTCTGACCTGCAGCCCCAGGTAAAATAATTCCGCTATCCTGGAAGTCTACTCCGTACTATGCCTATAGGGAAGACAAACCCCCTGATAAGTCCCGGCAGCTAAAAGCACGGGCGTTCCAGGCCATCGGGTTCTATCTTTTTCTTTTTATTTTCATTACGACGCACTGGAGACCGTACGTACTCGTACTCTGGATATATGTGCTATTTATACTCGGGTATGTTTCCCGCGATACAGAGCACATATGGTACAGTCGGGGCCTCTGTTTACCTGCTAACAGAGGACCGTGGTACCAAATCAATAGCACTCAGAGGAATCTCCATATCCAAGAGACAAAGTATGGATAGATAATTTACAAAGTTTGAAGCTGAAAGATCACCCGCAGCCGGAGACCAATGGTTGTTGGTGCCAAACTGCCGGATACATATGCTCAGTACGTACCAAATTTATGAGTACCCGGCGACCAGAGTTGATATCGGAGAAAGACCGGGAAGACCCCTGTTGCATTATTCGGGGTTTGTTCTGATTTGACTACGTAGTAATGCTATACAGGTAGATACAGGTAGAAGAATACACACCATACCCTTCACGGTGCTGAAAAAAAAAAAAAAAAGAAAAAGTAATAATAAACCTCCCTTATCATAATATAACCACACTGTCGGAATACGATCTCCACCGCTGCCCACCCCGACCGATTTCTAATCGCGTTGCTTTTTTGCATTTCTCTATTCTTTGGTACGCGAACCAGACGGACAAAGTCTATCCGCCCGCTGGGCCACTCTGCGTGCTCGCTGTGAACACAAATACCTTGTCAGAGTTCTCCATCGGCAGTCCCGTCTCTTTACTATGACAAATTCTTCCCGCCGGGTCGGTTGAGGTTGGGTCGGCTTTTTACTACATGCATACCAGCACGGAGTATCCGTAGGCCGTGGTTGGAGAATTCCTCACTCACAGACAGAGTGCGTACGAAGTACATACAGGATGCACGGAGAAGTCCTATGTCCTTTACACGAATCATGCTCATCATCCGGATATTATACCTAAAGCGTCCACCACTCTCCATTGGACAGGTCCTATTCATTCCGAAACGCAAGAGATAATAATAATGCATGCTATCCCGGCCCGGTCGATTAAGGAGTTGACAAGAGAATCAAGGAATCAACCCTTTTAGCCGCGAATTGCATTGATCTACAATCTTCCGTTTCGGTTTCAAGGACATACTTGCCACAGTTCAAATACCGAGCGCTAGTACGGAGTGCTGCGGCGTAGTGAGCACTAGTAAAGGATCACTTTGCCTCAGGTAAATGAGACAGTTGGTAGGTCAATTTCAACGGCCGTATCTATGTGCCTATCTATCTCATACAAGGCAACCGGAGTTCTCCGTCAACTAGTAATCAAAACCTGAGGCAACCACTCGTTTCGCCTTTCCTTCCGGGTCCGGTATTTAATTAATTGACAGCCGTGGCACCTGTCATGGTCGGATACATACTGTGCACGGGTATTGTATTCGGTAAATAATAATGGTTGTTGGACTTGATTGCACAGAGGACCGGAGGAAAGTTGAATTTAAAAAAAAAAAAAAAATATATATATATATATAAAATTAAATATTAAAAATTACACCCCTGGTAAGTGGCACTATTGCTCCGGGTACACAAGAAAGGGAACCAAACTGCTGGGACCAACTTTGTTTGGCATTTATACGCGAGTTTACTTCCCGCCATACTTTAGCAGATAACTAGGCGCAGTGATATGCTTTACTCTTTTTGAAGAGATACTTCTCGTTTTCGTTTTCGTTTTTTTGCCATCGTCCAGGGTCTCCAAGCAGTCTCCTCTCCGCACGATGTAGCGCCTCCCTCGAATTTCCCGTTATGGAATAGATCCGACAAACGGAAAGGTGTTCCGGGGTTGCGGTAACAGCGCAAGAGCCACCTGAATTACTGACTACAATAGAACAGACTACTAACCCCTGGAAGAAGGAAAACAAAGAAAATTATGCCAATGCACTTAGAGTAGCACTTCAAGATACTCCGTAGCATACTTATACATGGTTACTCGTATGGGCGTATGCATGTACCGGAAAGCAAAGATTCCATATTTATGAGGTGTTCGTTAGGGGGATACAGGGATAATAGAGTAATTCAGCCCTACCCTTGAGTACTTTTGCATCGCCAAAAGATGTCTAGCAATGATTGTCATCATGCATACTTACGACAAGCCACGGCAGGATTTGATATATATTAAGATTGTCATTGTGGTAACGGCCCCTATGTTACAGGATCTTCGAAAATCACCAGCTTGCACAAATTATCCGATGTCATTTACCGGATCCTGAGACACCAATCTCTCCGCCTGTTATGGTGCCCGAGAAAAGTGTTCATGGCCATTAGAATGTATCATATTACAACAAGAGGATCCGTGTATGTATAGAACATCCAAGAAAGCAATGAGCCTGAATGTTCCTCCGGGGACTTTCCCACTCCAGACCTCCAGCAAGAGTGACCCTTATCTCTATGCAAAATCTAGCCACATTCACCTTGAAAGTACCGGCCTAGGATGGCAACTGCAGAACACGTCTGGTAGGCATTTTCGAGAACAGATCAAGACCAGCATCAATAATCCTCAGATTGCGCAAATGCACGAGCAACAGAAGGCTGCCCAGCCAATAACCCACAATCGACTGGTAAACAGACCCCCGTGATAGCAGCTGCCTGATCACTAGCGAGAAAAGTCACAGCATTTGCAACATCTTCCGGCTGAATAGCGCGCTCTAACGGATACCACTCCTTTATTTTGTCGAAAACATTGTTGCCTGCACGAGCCTTGGCCTCCCACGCTTTCGTAAAGATGGTCCCCGGCGCAACGGCATTAGCCCGGACCCCGAACTTGCCATATTCCACAGCAATCGACTTGGTAAAGTTGATAAGAGCCGCTTTAGCAGCGCTGTATGCCGGGTTTCCGAATACAGACAGAGCATTCACGGATGTGATATTAACCACCGACCCTCGCGTTTCCTTGATAGACTCCGCAAATGCCTTGAAGCACAGATACGTCGTGTCCAGGTTCAACGACATCTCGGCTCTCCATCTCTGACTCGACATTTTATCCAGTGATCCCACGTACGTCCCGCCGGCATTGTTCACGAGAGTGCGCACCTGACCCTGCGATAGGATGATGGCGCCCATGGACCGGACGTATGTCTCTTCGGCGATATCGCATGTAAATGGCTGGATCTTTTCATTTCCTGCTAGCTCTTTCGAGTTCAGGGCTGTGCTGAGGAATTGTTTGTCGATATCGACGATGAAGACGAGGTCGTGGGTTGTGGAGAGGTGCGCTGCGACTGAGCGGCCGATGTCGCCGGCGCCGCCAGTTACGACTGCAATTGATTGCGATGAGGACATAATAATGGAGGATCGATTATAATCAGAAATATAGCTTCTGGTATCTGTTTTTACTTGAACGGAGTCAGCTCTTGTTCGGGTTATCTGGAGTTACACCCCGGAACCCGAGTTAACGTCATGTCATGGTTGCATCACAACTGAGAATGTTCACATGAATTGCTATTGGGTGAGGACCCTATGCTCTATCTATATAGCTCAAATGCTCTAATTACAGACCCAAAAAGAACTACTACCTCTGCAAGTTCTCAAAATAATCTCTGTATTACATCTACGTAGCCGTGGCAGCAGTTGTCGACAAAGCCCTTTCCACAGAATCATAATTACTCTCCATTGGCTGGACCTTGTCCGTTCTGTTTCAAACGTCAGCACCCCTTGCTATCGATTATGTCCTAGTACAGGAGCGCAAAAGGATACATACCTCGTCGTAATCCGTATATCAGTCTGAATCCGAACTATACCCTGTTGATGGATGAGGGTATGCGCGAAGCCGATAATCTGCGAGACTTGGTCCCATGGTCCTTCTTTTCGTTCCATGCTTGTTAGTATGTCTGTGCTTGTGTACTTAAGGAGAATATTGCAAATCAGGTGATGTACCAATGGTCGTCCCCGTTGCATGCATCTGGTACTTGAGACCGGATTGCTGCATCAAGCGCTGGATATCGGCTATCTGCTGCGCAAAGGAGACATTCTGGGCTCCGATCTAGTTGCACATATTAGTTCACGGTCTGGTTCGGATGAGAAGGTATTTAAGTAGGGGACTAACTGGTATCAAAGAAAAGTCGGCAATGCAGCTCGCTGGGGTTGCGAGAGCAGGGTTTGTGAGGGCCATGGTTATATTTTTGCTTATGTGCGTGCCAAATCGTGTTTATTGATGATTTATACTACGGATTTAGTTTTATTTTACTCTGAAATACTTTGTTATGGTTTTGGCCATCATGACGTTGAATTGTTCACAATATTACGTGGGAGGCGTAGGGTTCGTTCTATCCCTGGTAGTATGTCTCATCCACGGTTCTTCCGCGCCTCTGTTGAGGCTCACTACCACGGACATAGATGTCCTGATACAGCGTATCAAAGGTGTTCGGGGGATCAGGCATGTTAAGAGCGTCTTGTACCTCTTGGTTAATCATTCCACGGACGTCCTTGTCAACAGCCTTCGCTTCGTCTTCGGTAAGAACACCCCACTCAACCAGTTTTTCTCGGAAGTTGATGATTGGGTCGTTCGCTCGATGCGCTTGCAGCTCCTCTCGGGTTCTGTATGCGATTCCTGGATCGGACATTGAATGTCCCGCGTACCGGTAAGTGAGGTACTCGTATACCAGCGGTCCCTTGCCAGATTGCACATAGTCTTTGGCAAATCTTGTGGATGCCAGGACGGCTAGTACATCCATCGCGTTGATCCGGAGACCGGGGATGTATTGTCCGCGCTTGTAGTATTCGGTCATTGCTGATGCTCTTTCAACCGACGTTCCCATGCCGTACTTGTTGTCTGCAAGCACAGTTAGTAGGCGTGTCATTACCTTCACTGTATATATATAACTTACTCTCGCATCCAAAAATCACGGGCAGTTCCCAAAGCTTGGCCATGTTATATGATTCGTGCACCTGGCCCTGGTTTGCCGCCCCATCTCCAAAAAGATTGAAGGTAATAGTCGGATTTTCATCATACTGCTGCGCAAAAGCAATACCAGTACCGACAGGCACACTGGCTCCGACAATTCCATTTCCTCCAAAGAAGTTCTTGCAGAACATATGCATCGAGCCTCCTTTTCCATAAGATATGCCACCTTGTCGCCCAAGAAGCTCACCGATAATAGACTTGATGGTGCCACCGCGCATCAACGTGAAGCCGTGAGACCGATACGCCGTGATCAATTTATCGTCCCTGGTAATCCCATGCTCGATTCCGACTGCCACTCCTTCCTGTCCTGTTGATAAGTGGCAGAATCCTCTGATCTTCCTGTCTTTGTATAAACTGTCGGCAGATATTTCCATTCGTCTGTAGTACATTAGCAATAGCGTAAACTATCTCATAATTCTTTGTCCAACCTTATCACTGTCATGTCGTAGTATAGCTTTTTAAGTTGGTTTTTCGTCGTTTCGATAGTGTACGGCGGTGGGTCGAGGTGATATGTTTCGAAGCTGTCTTCTGATAATGGGACTTCGAAGGGCTTGTCATCTTCCTATAAATTAAAGTATATCAGTTGTCCGCGATTAGATGTCAACTCTCTCTCGGGAACTTACAGTGGGAATTCTCACGTCGGAGACCTGAGCAAAAAAGCGACGGCCAGTGCATGGAAACACTGGGCGCGCCAGGGGCAGCGATCTGCTGAGCTTCAAGGATCGTGAGAGCATGGCTTGTAATGTGGTAAGAGTTAATTTGGTATTTGGACCTATTCAGAATCAGAAATCTCCCTGTTGCTCTCCATCGCTGCTGAGAGTCATGTGTATAGCTTGTGATGTCATGTTGAACTCATAAGCTGCATTCAGCATAAGTACATGCTTGTACTTGGGCACAGCACTTCCGTGTCTGATCGATCAGGTATACTTATCATGAGAAGTTCAATGGATTGTTAGATATGGTTCTGGTATCAAGCCACATTCTTCTGTAGAGCTCCAGTACTCGGTAGATCCCTTGTACTCTGAACTGCCGACAAGCGCTGCTGGATACCGCCCATCAGCACAACTACTCAGGACACTTCTTAACTCCCAGCATTCAAATCACTTAGTTCAAACAGAAGGTTACAGGGGTACTCTAAAAGGGATTGCATTGCTGTCAACAGCATGAAGTTCCCCAGCCCAGACACTATCATCCCTTATCGGATAGGCCGATAAGACTCGGAACATCGGTTCCCCCGATATGACGCATATTACTTAGCTGGGAATGTCGGGATGTGCTTCAATCTTCATGTCCCTGTCTGGGGTTTTTGCATATCACGGTACAACGATAAAGGAAGGGTACTTTAGCTGGCCCATAGAGGATGCATAGGATTGCTCTATACGACTTACCAATCCCCTCCGAAACCGCCCCAAGCAAACAGGGATAGGTCAAGACATCAACAGCTTAAGAGTTACCCATGAAGGTTGAGTTCCAATCTTGGTATGGTGCGCCGTACAGCTCCTGCCCGCTCGAACAGGGGCGGGGCAGCTCGTCGCCGTCAAACCAGACGTCAGGAACGAGACGATGAGATCCCAGAAGTGTACCGGGAGATGCTGGCTGAAGCTGAAGCCCGGGAATCCCAAGAAGCTGAAGCGGGTAGATCTAATAAAAGGCGGAAAGTGGGAGAGCGATCGACTAGCCCGTCTCGCCCAGAACCTGCAGGGCAAGAAGCGAACCCGCCGGAAACAAGTGAGGATGTAGGAAGGCAAATACAAACTGCATATGACTCTACTGCTTCGGAAGAGTCAGATATGGAGTGGGAAGAAGTCGATATTCAACAGGCTCCGTCAAACTCAATCCAAACGGTTCCTTATTCCGCAGATGAACCGCTTCAGATCACTTTGGACCAGCATAAGGATACTGGGAAAAGGATTGTCTCGCGGCGAAAACCAGTTACTGGAGCTGAGAAGAAGCTACGGTTAGATGTCCACAAGGCTCACCTTCTTTGCCTTCTTGGCCATGTACATATCCGAAATCTCTGGTGCAATGACGAGCTCGTGCAGGTATGCATATATTAAGCCAAACAGCTCGATCAATTTCTAATCTCCGTTCCAGGGTTTTCTTAAGCAGATGCTACACAGAAAAGTCAAAGACTTGCTGAATCCGGCAGAAGACAAACCGCAGTATACTAGATCTATCACTTTCGTTGACGGGTTAAACCAGGCCAGCGAGGCATTTGCAAGAAGATTCAAAACCATCAAGCCCGGCTTGCAGCGTGCTCATTGGGCCGATGATTTGAACTCCTTGAATCAGAGAGTGGTACCGTAAATGATCCCTGTAATCCAAAATTACCGGTTTTTAACACTTCTTAGGAGGCAATACTGTCCAACGCGGAGGTACTGCTATCGCGAGACGACTTCAGGAAGCAAGCCGAGACACTGCAAGGATCCCGTGATTTTGGCACACAGCTTTTCTGTGCTCTGCTGCGGTCAGTAGCTGTGGAGGCCCGGTTGGTTTGCTCTTTGCAGCCGCTGCCATTTTCTGGTGCGACAACAACTGGGCCGAAAAAGCCAGAGTCGCAGTCTATTATCATTTCAGCCTATGACAATGAAGTTGATGAGCAATCACAATCCGATGCTACTCGAAATCCAGCTCCACGAAAAAGAAGGCTTGGGCAGCCGCGGTTTGCACCGTCATCTAAGGCCCCGAAGACATCTGTGCGCACAGGTTTGTGATATGTGAGACTCTTAGAAAGGATATTAGCGTCAGCTGACACCTTCAAGGACCACGCCCAAGCCTCAAAGAATCGTCCTACCCCGTATTCTGGGTCGAAGCCTACAACGATGCGGTCCAGAAATGGATCCCTGTTGACCCCTTGGTGACCAAGTCACTTGCGAAACCTTCCAAATTCGAACCCCCCGCTAGTGACCAGTATAATGTCATGAGCTACGTTGTTGCGTTTGAAGAGGATGCATCAGCAAGAGATGTTACCCGGCGCTACGCAAAGGCCTTCAGTGCAAAAACCCGCAAATTACGAGTTGAGAGTACTCGGAATGGGGAGCGATGGTGGGGAAGGGCGCTAAGATACTACGAGAAGCCGTTCTTGGAGGACCGTGATGGAACAGAAGTGAGCGAGTTAACCGCCAAGGTGGCTGCTGAGCCCATGCCACGAAATGTGCAAGACTTCAAGAATCACCCAATTTATGCACTCGAGCAGCATCTTCGTCGGAATGAGGTCGTTCACCCGAAGCGAGTGATTGGGCAAGTTAGTTTAGGGAAATCTGGCTCGAAGGGCCAGAAATTGGAGCCAGTTTACCGTCGCACTGATATTCACGCTTGTCGAAGTGCGGATGGATGGTACCGTCTGGGACGAGACATCAAAATCGGCGAACAACCTCTCAAACGTGTTCGGGCAAACCGAAACAAATTCAGCATCAATGACGATGGTGAAGATGATGGCACTACCGAGGTCCCTGTATATGCTCACTTTCAGACAAACGTATACAGACCTCCACCCGTCGTTCAAGGTAAAATACCCAAGAACGTCTACGGAAATCTGGATATTTACACGCCAACTATGGTTCCGCCAGGTGGTTTCCACATAAACCACCCCGCCGCATCCCAAGCAGCGAAAATACTCGGCATTGACTATGCCGACGCCGTAACAGGCTTTGACTTCAAAGGGCGCCATGGAACAGCGATTATTCGGGGTGCTATCATAGCAAGTGAATACCGTGAAGCTCTTGAAGAAGTATTGAATGGTCTTGAACACGAACGGTTGCAGGCTGAGCTGGAAGTAAAATCCGCAGAAGCGCTTGGAATGTGGAAACACTTCCTGCTCAAACTTCGGATCGCTGAAAGAGTCAAGGGCTATGCTGTTGAGGGTGAAGAAGGGGAAGATGAAACTGCCATTGATGCAGACGATGCCAGCTATGGAGAGTCGGAAGAGGGCGGCGGTGGCTTCTTTCCGGAGCCAGATCAAGCTGTCAGCAGCCGACGTCCGGTATCCACTTTTAGGGATGGTATGGAGCCGGACTCGCCTGTGTATGTAGGCGGAGGTTTCGTACCAGAATCCGGGTTTGAAGATGATGAAGCTCTTGGCGGAGGCTTCGAACCAGAACCCGATTTCGAAAATGATGAAGCTCTTGGCGGAGGATTTATACCTGAAGAGACTCCGCAGGATACAACTGAACCACAGCCTTTGCTGCCGTCAAATACTGTCGGTGATACAGAGTATACGAATACGGCACATAGGAAGGAGCCTTCCCACTTTAACCTCGTTGTTGTCCCACACAAGCAGCCTGATTCTGCTGGCAACATGGGCCCCGGTGGCAGTGTCCGCAGTACCGTTGAAACTGCATCACTCATGCCGGAAATTCAAGAGGAAACTCCTGGACAGGATGTATTCAAGGACAATGGCAATCCACCCGGTACAGTTTCAACAGACCCAACAGCAACAGAGGACCCAGAGGTTGTGAGCGAGGAAGTAGCTCCAAGGGATGCATTACCAGCACAATCAAGAGCATCCCAGGAAGACAATCCAAGCGAACACAGCGATAATGAAGAAGGTTCACTGTTGTCGGAGGATCCTGAAGACGAGGATGCAATTCCAGAGTGGTTGATGTAGGCTCTTCGACCAGTTCCGTGTACTATATTTGCATATATGTTGAATACTATAACCCACTGTGCAGAGCAAAGTCTTTCAATTTATCAATTCATATAGAATATCTTAAATCATAGAATTTCTCGAGCATGATGACTCTTCTATAGGGCAGTGCACGGGCCAACACATTATCGGCGACGCGTTCGAACGCGGTTTTCCCGATAAGGAATCATTCATTCACCATTGCTTCAATCCCCGAACCTTCAATTCTTAATGCTTCCCTACGATACCCCGACCCATATATAGACTCCTATTGCGATGAGACGAAAGGAAAACCTCGATCCAAACGCGCAGACAAGCCCAACCGAATACCAAACACCAGCCCGAACACCCACCACCGCACCCTCATCCTCAAGACCCTCGAACTCGAAATCAATTACGACCGCCAGAAGAAGTGCCCAAACACCGATCGCACCGCCACATTCCAGATGGAACTCCTCACGCAAATACAACACGCTCTCCAGTTCGCTGGGCCGGCAACAGTCTACGCTCACGCAGATAGATTGGGTGGCAACTAGACGGCACCCGGATTCGGAGGACGACGACCTTGACGACGACAGACTCGATTATATCGCGGCAGAGCCTAATGCGCAACATGATGATACGCCGGATATGAACACGAATACCAATACCAATACCAATACCAATACTCGCGACGTGATTGAGATATCGGATGACTCTGGGAACGATGCCGATTATCAACCAGCGCCGTTTTTGCGGACGCGGCCGGCCCGCGGTGTTCGATTTGGACAAGATACAACGACGGAGACGGATATCTCTAGGCGAAGGAGGAGTACATCAAAACCCAATAGTGCAGAAAATGGCACTGGCCGGAGGAAAAGCGGCGGCAGCGTCCGGGGGAGTATTAAAAAAGATAAGCAGCCGAAGGAGCGGGATAAGACCCTTACGCAGATGGATTATGTACGGCGGTACTTGAAGATCGAGCCGGATGATGATGTGAAGCTGGAATATACATACTATAGTCCGAAGAAGGATAGGGATCCGGAGAGTCGTGAGGCGCATCGGCGCAGTGCGGCGGAGGCGCTAGTGTCTACGAAGGAGGAACAGAAGGATGGGGTCAAGAGGCGGAGGTTGACTGAGGAGCTTGATTCGAAAGATGGTTCTAATCCTGAGGGAATCCGCCCTAGAGGGCAGCTGTCTCGGGGGCTTGTGACGCCGAAGAAGACGATCAAATCCGAAATCCCGTCTTCGCAATCACCGGAGAGTCCTGGGTTCGCACTTGTTTCGCCGTCGCACTTTCGTGGAATAAATCGCTTTCCATTGAAACAAGCATCACCAGTCGATCGTCCTGTGAAAGAAGAACAGCCCGGTTCTGCGGGGGAAAGCGCTCTGCATAATTTAGACCGTGCATCACCCTCTCCCAATCAGACCTCATTACCTAATTCTCCAGCTCTCCCTTCGATATCACGAAGTATTATCCCATGTGATGATGCAAATGACCCGGATACCACGCCCACAAACCGTCCGACCAATACGCAGAGGACCATAGTATATGAGACTGATGCTGAATCGGACTATGGCGAGACTCAGGACGACCTGTCTGTTCCTCCTTCATCTCAGAAGCCGAAACTGGTCAGCGGCGACGACAACCCCATGGAAGATATTGAAGATTCACAACGCTACGACTCCCAGGAACTTCCCTCACCTGTCATTCCTTCCGGGCTCGATAACGAAACCGGGCCATCATATCCAGACTTGTCATCCGATGCATCAATTTGTTATCGGCGGCCACACCATTCTACTCAATACCCCCTCGAACCTATTCCTCCCATGAATACACAAGCATTGGCCGAGCTCTTCCCACAGGAGAAAGAGAACAGCGCTCAGCAAATAATGACAGACACGACTCAAACACAATCGCCACCGGCTGTCCAGCGCCATTCATTGCGGACACATCACCAATTAACCCAGACACAGACGCAAACCCAATCCCAATCTCAATCGAACTCTCAATATTTGAAGACTTCGACTGAAATCGTACCAGAATCCTCGCCCGTAACACGGCGGGATTCAAACCCCTCCATGCCACAGGAATCGGTTGTGCAGGTTGAGTCTTCGCAACCAGCAGACAGGTTTTTTAGAAATACCAGAAGTGAGCAGGACTCTGGTCCGCGGGGATTCGTTGGGAATCAACTGCTCTCTTCAAGTGTTTTGGAGAGTATACCCATGCCGCCATTATGGATGGGCAGTCAGGACAGTGTTGGAGAGCCGTACAGTGAGCCAGGAAACGAATAAACGAATTAGCATCCATGCAATGCAACATAATGTACATTAATAGCCATAAATCTACGAATAGCATCGAAATGATAGACAGAAAATCACGTGGGTTTACAGTCAAGCTCATAAGCGCAAGCGCCGGTGGGGCACTCGGGCGGCCGTAGAACCGGCTGCGGAAACGCCTGTGGAGAGGCCGACTCTTGTCACAATCAACCGTCGTGGAGGTGAGAGAGGACGGTCTCGCGCATTTATTTCCCTTCTTTCCAAGTCGCCAGTCGCATCATATCCCGTTTATTTCTTAACTCGAGAGTTTTCAGCGCCATGGATTTCCCATACGATCATATCCAGGAGGAGATCCTCGCCGCCAACGATCCATCCAAGAAAGGCGCCCAGGACGAATCCTCCAACAACCAGCAATCCAACGTCGACCTAAACACCGAGCTGCAAGAAACGTTTCGCGCTTTTTCCGCTAGTCCGTGGGGTGCACGCATTGGCGGGTTGTGGGATAATGTCCGCAAACAAGGCGAGACCTATTACGAGGGCGCTAGAGAGGAGTATGCTGCAGTCAGCGAGGAAGCCGTAAAGGGCTTTTCGGATCTGAGAGAGACAATTGTTGGACGGACACGGGGCCTCTCCCTGAGCACGGGGCTTGCGTCATCGTCTGAGGATACGGAGAAGGAGAAGGAGAAGGATGAGGCGCTCACTCCTACAGCTCCGAAGGCGGATGGTAGTGAAGAGAAGGACGCTGAGGGCGAGAGCTTCTTCGCGCGCATCAAGACAGAAGCGGCCAAGCGGTTCAGGGAGCTTGAGAAGGCGGAGGAAGCTGCCGATGAGGCCATCTTGCGCTTTGGAATGAACATTCGCCAGAAGCTGCAGGATGCGGTGAGCATTGTTCCGCCGGAGTCAGACTCGAGCCAGGTCCTCTTCGAGAGTAAGGATGCGGATGGGAAGAGAGTTATCCATGCTACGCGTTTCGAAGCCCAGCTGCACGTTATCCACTCGAATCTGGAGAACTTCACCAAGGATCCTGACAGTGACCAGTGGCCTAAGTTCAAGGAGGCTTTCAACGCGGAGGCGAAGACTGGCGAGATCGCATCTGATTTGGAGAAGTATCCTGAGCTGCGGTCTGCTATGGAGAAGCTTGTGCCAGAGCAGGTTGAGTACTCGCAGTTCTGGTCGCGGTACTATTTCCTTCGTTTTGTGATTGAGACTGAGGAGCAGAAGCGCAAGGAGCTTTTGAAAGGTATGTTTTTTGACTTTTTTTTTTAATCTACTGTTATGATTCATCTATCTAACTCAATGCGTTCCAGGTGCCAACGTGAACGAAGAAGAGGAAGTCGGTTGGGATGACGATTCCGAGCCTGAATCTGACGAATCCGACGAATCCGACGAATCCGAATCTCCCTCTACTCCCCAGGTTAAGAGCAGCAAATCTAAGGCCGCCACACCCACGCAAGGCACTCCCGACCCAGCCGCTGCCAATAAAACCCTAAAGCCAAACGAGCCCCGTCGCTCGAACGACCAACAATCCCAGGCCGACAGCGAATCCAGCTACGATGTCGTTAGCGGCACCACCAGCCGGACGCCTGGTAGTCCCAAAGAGAAGAGCCCGGCCGCCGATGCAAAGGGAGACGATAGCGATGATGACTGGGAGTAAACTATCTTTGTCGAATTCGAATTCGTGCCAATACGATGACAAGCTAGGTCAAACTTCCCCGATGTTGATATCCGGTCATGTTAAGCTGTCATGACCACTGCTTGGTCCTCGGCCAGTCTATAGGCGTTATGGTCCTTTCTTTTTTTTATCCTATCTACTGGTGTTTTGGGATTCCATGTACTGCGCTTCTGTTGTTTAGCGATTTTCTACTTTAACAATTCCCTCCTTGCTACCCTTCCGGCTTTTTCTTTGATAGCAATTGATCCGGTATTGAGCCATTACGGCGAATTATCAGCATTTATCAATCTTACAAAAGTTTGTAACTCGTATCACAAATCTCGCTTAGCCATTTTAAATCATAATCATGATCGGGTCTATTTACATTACTTTTTTTAGATTGCACATGATATTCCTCACTCCGCAGTACCAGAGCCACCCTTCTCAACCGTAGTAGACTCATCATCATCATCATCATCATCAGCAGGAACCGTAGGAGACCGTCTCGAAAGCGGCGATCCCCTCCTCAGCGCCTCATCCCCACCACGCACCACATTCAACCTCCTCCGATCCGACTGCACAGAAGGCGACCGCCTCCCCTGCACAGGCGTCTCAGGTGTAGCCTCTCTCGACCGTAGATGAAACCCACCTCTGGTCCTCTCACTGGGCGAAAAAGGCGGCTGATAATACTCACTACCCTCGCGCGAATATCCATATCTACCAGGAGGAGTCCCGTACTGATAATCCTCGCCGCGTCGTTTGACGGGGCTCTCGTCGTAGGGATCCCAGCCGACTTTGCGTCGTGCTTCGGAGCGCAGGCGTTGGCGATGTTGTTCGTCGCCACCGGCGCCGGTGGTGGAGGATTCTTCGAGGAAGAAGTTGAGGAGTTCGTCTGTGATGGAGAGGTGCGATTGTTGTTGGAACTGTTGGAGGGACATTAGGCGGAGGAGGGTTTCAAGGAGGGAGAGGGAGGTGCGGATGTTGTTGAAGAGGGGGTTGGAGACGGTTGTTGTGTCGCGGTGGGAGGAGGGGTGGCGGGAAAGTCTTCGTTGGGATGGCGAGGGTGATCCCTCGTGATCGTCTAGAGATAGGTTTGCCATTTGGCGCGGATCGACGGTGTCTGTCTTTGTGGGGGTGCTGGGGGCTTCTGCTTCTGATTCGGTGTCTGAGGATTCGTCTTCGTTGTAGACTTCGAATGCTATCCACTCGGGATCTAGGTCTTGTGGTAACCGCCACTCATCAGGGATCGAGTCTTCAGAGTAGTCGTGATTCGGTGTCGGGGTGTCTGCTCCCAATTGGGCATCAAGCTGCGCCTGGACTGGATCGACTTCCTCGCTCTCTTCATCCGAATCCAGATAGCCGTAATCTGCTTCTTCGCGTTCCATCATACGTCGTGGTGGCACAGCATTGACGTCTCTCTTCAAGAGTAGGACGGGGTTATTCACCTCGCCTTCCGTACTAATGTTAAGAATCCTCCCAGTGTCTGCATAGAAAATCTTGGAGATTTGATGAATAGGAAAAATTTCCCGCATCCCGGCTTGACCCACGCCTTCATAGCTGTAGGGCTGTGGGCCGTTTTCTTCAAAGGTATGAACTCTATCATCATCTAGGTCTTCAATGATAAGGATCTGATAAGCGTACTCTTCCACTCTTGCTTCCGCGGGAAGCTGGGATTTATGTGCATTGGATGGCGTTGCGGAATCTATGGGCACCCGTCGAAGTTTGAGTCGTGCTTTGTGCATGACCTCTTTCCATGTTGCTTCGCGAACGCCTTCTTCATCATGCGGACGGAGGTGACTGGCAAAGAGCATGTACATCGAAAGAGTGAACGTGGGTCCAATTTGAATCGCTTGCGACGGTGACATATAATATTGTGTGTCTCCAGCGGTGAGAAATGTGCTAGCTTGTAACAATCTGGACGGCGACACTGCTGATGGCAAGTTGGTCGACAGCCTGGCACCCGATGTAGTAATGGCCAAGTTCATAAGCGGGACTGCATCCTCAATTCGGACGAGTAGTCTCTTGATATCTTTTATGATGAACCTTATTTCTGCATCATTCTGGGCCCGATCACCTGGCGACTTGCCACCCTTTTGGATCAGCTCTTCGGATGCAGCAGCTCTAGCTAGTCGCTGGCCTAAAGCCTGGATATCCCATCGGAGGGACTTTGTGAGAGAAACCGCGGATTCAAGAGAAGTATTGCCTCTTGCAGCTCTGAGACTAGATTAGACTCCATGATATTTGGTGCTCCATCTGAATGACTTACATCAACTCAATCATGTCAATTGCAGGAGAAATGACCTTCTTTGGAGTTAGCCCTTCATCATTGCGGAGTGTTCTTAGCACAACAAACCTGGATTTTGCTTTCCAGACGTTGCTGCAGCACAACCAACTCCTCCCGTTCTTCACTGTGATCGACATTCTATAGCATTCAATTAGCTTTGGGTGATACTCGGATCAACAGGGAAGAACTGAATACCTTTAGCAGACGAGACGACTCGCGGATAGCATATCTGGCAGTGATTGTGATCCCCGAACTAGAGGTCTCAATGTCAGCCCATTGGCCTTCCAAGCAATGCGCTTGCAGACAACAAAAACCATGTAAACATACCGAATGGCATAGTTCATAGCCTGTTGGGTAAGCTACCAATGATGTCAGTGTCAAAATTCTACATGACTCTTAAGAGCAGGCTTGATGTACCCTATTCAGAAACTGGTCCATGTTGAGTCAGGCAGATATGACAGTCGCATTTGCCTCTTGATGCCCAAGGTTCGGGAAATTCCAAACGTTGGTCCAAGCACTGACTGTAGTCCTGCTTGTATGTGGCCCCTGAGCGTCGAGGTACTTGCCTTATCGATAACAAGCAACTGATTGCGGCGGCGTGTAGTAGAACATAGAGGCCATGGGAGTAGTAAAAAATAAATACTGTTATTCAAAAGCAGACGTCGTGTATGCCATTTTTTTTTTAAGATAAAGGGCTATAAACCAAAGGTGCTTGTTCTTCGCGAACAAGGAAGCACAAATAGTGCCTGATAGTGCCTAACGCGATAGACGCCACAAACGCCCAAAGCGGGGGAGGGCTGTGCTGAGTCATCTTGTGCAAAATTGAGCCCAACAACGCCCCTCGTCAGATCTTTGTGACTCTTTCGGCAACCCTCAAATAACTCATACCCCTTTTATAAACCAGCGGATTCCTTGCTGGTTGGTGTGTTCGTCGTCTAACTTCACTCTTTCTTAATTGTTATTCGAGATGGCGGACCAAACTCCTGATTCCTGGGAGGAGGAACTCTCCAGGCAGACCGAGGGCGTTAACTTGAACAACCGGGCTCAGGCGCCTGCCTTCCACCCTGCTGCTGCCAACTTCCAGCCGGGCGCGGCCTCCTTCGTTCCTGGTGCTCCCGCTTTCGTGCCCGGGCAAGCCGCCTATCAGGGCTATGGCGGCTTCCCGCAGTACCCCCAGTATGGCCAGTACGGCGGTTATCCGCAGCAGCAGCAGTTTGGTCAATATGGGGCAGGAGCATACGCCCAACAACCAGGTGCCTTCAACCAAGGCTTCAACCAGCAGCAGCAACAATTCCAGCAGCAACCCCCGCAACCCCAGCAACCCCGTCAAGCCGCTGCCCCATCTTCGCCAAAGCCCTCCAACGGCGCTCCCCCCAAGGCTAAGGTTCTTTCTATTGGCGGCGCTGGCTCCTCATCTTCCGCATCCGCTCCTAAGACCAAGGTCCTTTCCATCGGAACTCCCTCCTCGTCGGACGCATCCTCCCAACCGAGCGCTTCGAAAGACGCCAAAGAGACCAAGGGTGACACCAAGGGTCCTGTGGCTGCGGATACTGCAGCTAAGGTGATTTCTAGCAAGGCCGTTGACAAGACGGATAAGAAGGCGGAATCGAAGGCTGCTGCCAGTGGCAAGTCGTCTCCTACTCCTTCGTCGGGTCGCTCGAGCCCTAGTCGTGGAGAGTCTGCCAAGGCTGCGCGGGACGCTGCACGGGATGCCAGTGCTGTTGCTATGGAACAAAAAGCAGATGTGGATGAGGCGACGCTGCAGGAAATCTACGGTCAAAAGAAGGAGCACGTTAACATCGTTTTCATCGGACACGTCGATGCCGGAAAGTCCACCCTGGGAGGTTCTATTCTGTATGTCACTGGAATGGTCGACGAGCGGACTTTGGAGAAGTACAAGAGGGATGCCAAGGAGGCTGGACGTGAAACCTGGTACCTCTCCTGGGCTCTGGACTTGAACCCCGAGGAGCGAGCCAAGGGTAAGACTGTTGAGGTTGGCCGTGCTCACTTCAAACTCGACATTCCATCGCCCGAGGGCACCATCGAGCGTGACTTCTCTATCCTTGACGCTCCCGGTCACAAGGCTTATGTTCACCACATGATCGGTGGTGCTTCGCAGGCCGATGTCGGTGTCCTGGTCATCTCTGCCCGTAAGGGTGAATATGAAACCGGTTTCGAAAAGGGAGGTCAAACTCGGGAGCACGCCCTGCTTGCCAGAAACACGGGCGTTAAGAAGCTTGTTGTCGCCGTCAACAAGATGGATGATCCCAGTGTCGAGTGGAGCAAGGCTCGTTTCGACGAATGTACCGTCAAGGTCTCGAAATTCCTAGAAGCACTTGGTTACAAGAAGGATGACCTTACTTTTATGCCTATTTCTGCACAGCGCGCTTTGGGTATCAAGGACCGTGTGGCTAAGGAGCTCGTTCCTTGGTACGGTGGTCCTTCGCTCCTTGAATACCTCGGCAACATGAAGATGCCCGAACGGAAGATCAACGCACCATTCATGATGCCCATTAGCGCCAAGTACCGTGACATGGGTACCGTGGTTGAAGGCCGTGTTGAATCAGGTGTGATTAAGAAGAATGGCAGCTGTATCATGATGCCCAACCGCACTAAGGTTGATGTTGCCGCCCTCTACGGTGAAACTGAGGACGAGATCCCGACAGGCACTTGCGGTGACCAGGTCCGCATGCGTCTTCGTGGCGTGGAAGAAGATGATATTTTGCCTGGTTTCGTCCTTTGCTCTCCGAAGCGTCCCGTGCACACCGTTTCTGCATTCGAAGCCAAGGTCAGGATCCTTGAGCTCAAGAGCATCCTCACTGCTGGTTACAACTGCGTTATACACATTCACTCTGCTGTTGAAGAGGTTACCATTTCGCAGCTCCTGCATAAGTGTGAACCTGGTACCGGCCGGAAGAGCAAGCGCCCACCGCCGTTCGCCAGCAAGGGCCAGACCATCATTGCTCGTATCGAAGTGACCAGCACTGCCGGTGCTGTCTGTGCCGAACGATTCGAGGACTACAACCAAATGGGACGGTTTACCCTTCGTGACCAGGTAAGCGATTTTCCTTACACGATTCCTTTCTATTCCACATACTGACGATGATACCAGGGACAAACCGTTGCAATTGGTATGATCACCAAGCTCATCACTAATGAGGACAAATAAATTGGCGACTTGATATTCTCTTAAACATCATGTCGTTTCACCGGTTCCGGCTACCGTCCGCAAAGGCATCGTGCCACAGGGTCAGGTAAAAGCATCCCACGATAGACAGAAGAGGGAGGCTTGGGCGGGCAGAGGCTTAGGCGATGATATCCCATGTACAGCCTACCTCAGTTGATGATGATGATTCTTTTTTTTATCTTTATATTTGTTTCATTGCTGTTGTCAAAAAATGGGAATAGACTGGAATTTTGCTACCAGTCCACGATCTTTCAACTAAATCCCGCTAAAACTGTTGCTCATCTTTACCATGTCTATATCATGAAGTCGTAAATGTCATTCGATACATACAACAAGAACTGAATCGCGCGCTATCCAGACCAAAATCACCTCTTCTTCCCAACCATAGTAAACCCATCCTCATCAATCTCAGGCTGAGGCTTCTCCTTTGGAGCCCTAACCAACGCAGGCGCCTCCCCCATATCAACATCCCCACCCTCCTCATCAACCTCATCATCCGTTTCCTGATCCTCATCCTCCCCCCTCTTAAACCCCGCCGCCGCATTCCCCTTCTGCTGACTCTTCTTCTGCCAATTCTCCCACATCTCCTGAATCCCCGCCACATCGCCCCTCTGCACCTGCGTCTTCACCTCCATGATCTTCGCCGCAACCGGCCCCGCGCTCTCATCTTCAACAACCACGTCGAATTCGTCGTTCATTACTTGGATAAGCACGTCCTCGAGGTCCTCGGCGTCGGTCTCGGGGCGCTCGGTGAGCATGTCGGAGATTGCGCCGCAGAGCCAGTCGCGTTTGTCGGAGGAGGTGGGGCCGCCCCAGAGGGATTGGACGGCGAGGGAGAGGGAGGGCCAGGCGTGGATGGCGAGGGTTATGCCGAGGTCGAGGTAGGAGGTTGCGGGTTGGGTGGGTTGGGGTTGGGGTTGTTGGGTGGTCATTTTGGTTTGTTGTGTTGTGGTGTGGTGCGGTGTGGTTTTGGTGGTGGTTGTGTAGATAGAGGTTTCAGGGTGTGTTCTTTTTGTATGCTCCTTCTTCGTTGGCAGACGTATTAAGAGATGCACTTGAAGGTGGGATATAAATGCGACTTCGACTCGTGGGGCGTTCGATTTGTGCAAGATGCGGTTTGTATGGTTATATGCGCATCCAATTATCACACTTTTAAATGTCAAAAAACAGGAACCTTGTTGGCCAACGGGGTATCAAATTGGCGCAAATGAAAATGCAAAGAGGGCTGATGCAGGCATCAATCTCGAAATTTTTCGAGATCGACAACGGGCGATTAGATACGATACGAGTCATGTGATCTTATCGCTGGTTTTTGACCCCGCTATTTACGAAAATTGTTCACATTGGGATTGGATAAAAAGTATGATTATTGATTTTAAAAAAAAAAAAAAAAAAAAAACACGGATAATGATAGGTTAAGGGGTCCACAAGAAAAAAAAAATCCTGAAAAAGGACTGCCAATGCCTGCTTTCCAGATAGACCGGGAAAAAACAAAAAAAGAAACCGATTGTATCTTCCGACACGGGGAATCGAACCCCGAGCTGCCGTGTGAGAGACGGCGATGTTAACCATTACACCATATCGGATGTTGTTGAAGAATGACAACATTTTTGTCTACATAAGGCAATACAAATAAGCATAGGCAGCACAGCGAACAGAAGCTGCCTGTAAATTCATCTCTTCATTCACAATTTTTTTCTTTTTTTTTTTTTTTTAACTTCATACGTAGTCATACATCTTCTCTTTGCTTTCGCTCTCTCTTCCTTTTATTAGATCATTAGCTGTATGGCGTTGTGGCTGGGATTCCCAGTGCACGAGAAATATATATTCAACCCCGAGGCGCTATAAAAGGACTGCCTGTCTTTCGACAATCGTTTAAAATAATTCGAGAATATCTAGATACTCTGCAAGGATGCACCTTGATAAATCCTGTGACATTAATGCAATTTTGGATGCACATCGACAACTAATTAGAAAATAAACAAAACAACATGCAGAATGGTATATCCAGCCTTGACAACAAAAATCCATGTATATACACAAAGTAATACAAGAAAGAAAATAAACAAACAAAAGATGCACCCGAAAACGCCCCACACAAAAAGCCCTTCCCTGGGGATCAAAAAACATAACTCAAAAGCTGCTGTGCCCTGACAGCAGTGGCAATATGCCAAGGTAGTGTATTCCGTTGCACACATCGTGTGCCTCTGGCCCGCGCAAGTATTGCCAGATCGTGGTACATCCCGAGTATCTCTTTAAGGAGGGTTTCATGTGACGACGTTGGACGCTGAGAATGAATCAAATTCACGTTTGTTGCGAACACTCCATCACCGTCGGTAGGTCCTTTTCGACGAAGCAAATATCCGCTGGCAAGCGCAGGGCGGTACTCTGTCAGATGAGGGGAGCTATTCAGACGATGTGACAGAATTACATTCCACGATTCATCACGGATATCGGTGAGGAAGAAATCTGATTCTGATTCGGGTTGGAAATCGGGCGTAGTGGCCGACATAGGTGCATTACCACCGTTAGTGGGCGTTGGCGCATTTCCATATTGGTCTGGTGATGCCACAATAGGACCGGGTGTGGCAACGGGGGTTGATGAAGCCTGCGCATTGAACACACTCGTGGGTATTAGTAGGGATGGAGGTTCGAGAGAAAAGTCGGTAATCGCGTTGACATGTAATATCATCAACTCCAATGGGATTGGCTTTGATTTGTTGTGCTGCTCAGCCAGATTTGTCCAGGCTATAGAATAGTCAGTAACGCAAGAAGAGCCTCAAGAAAAGTGGAATGCTTACTGTCAAGCTCGTCCTGATCCACAGGTTCAGTATTCACGATGATAATTCTCCACCTAGCCTTTATTCTATCCATGATAGTTTGCGTGGTCCCCCATATCTCGTTGCGCACGTCGGAGATGCCTCGAGCAGTGCCTGAATTTCGGTAACGCAGGCAGTAAGACATCATTCGCTGAAGAGCTCCAGTGTTATCGGACCAGGCCACGGTAATCCAGCGTTGATCAAGACTCCGCGAGCAGGCAATATGAAGACTCTTTCCATCCTGCAGTGGTGACAGTCTCTCCGGGACAAGCTTGAAGCTGATTGCCTTCGGTGCGGACTCTGTGAGAAGCACCGGTGGAGCACAATGGACGAGATTTGATTCCGAATCTTTTGGTGGACATCGACTGTATACTTCTAGAGCTAGGCTCAAATAGTCTGACTGCGACGGCACAACTATGGATTCTGGAGACATGACGAAGCTGATAGGAATAATTTGTAGTACAAGCTCGTTGAGTTTCCCGACCTGCTGTTTATCGGTACCCATGATGTATTTCTGAAATAGTTGCCAGAAAGCAGCGCAGATATCGGCCAATGCTGCGGCATGCGTGAACGGATTGATCACGTAGACAACAAAGTTCTCAGTCCTTGGCTGACTGCCCGAAAGGGCGTTTCCTGAAAGCACTCGTCAGTATGTGGTCCGAAGATCTTTGGAAAACTAACCTACCTAGCTCCTCGCACAAATCCCTTAAGGACTGCACCGTGGAAAGATAGTTGGACGTCTCCGTGTTCCATGAGCCCAACCCACGTTCAAAGCACATGTCCCCTCGCGCATGGTTACCAAGATTGCAGGCTGAGTAAAGTAATCCCAATCGTTCCAAAAACGCGTCTGCTGCATCTGTCGTAGCCCGGGGATGGATGCAGTATGCCGATATGTCCTTTGGTCCGTGTGCAGGCTCCAAGTCAAACGTTTCCCAGAAGGAAACTGCGGGCGGAAGAGCTTCTAGATAGCCTTTTCCACGGCGGATGCGCAGGTGCGGTGGTAATAATTTTGATATTGCACCCTTTGCAGCCTCTTTCCGCTGTGGCAGTTGGCGGGGTGTCAGGCCTTCTGATGACGGTGGTGACGAGCCATTTTGCAGTGACGCATAGCTTTTTAGGTCTAACCTGTCAACTTCATCCGTGAACACCGTATCCTCGAGGATGTTGCGGAGAGGATACATCTCGTTGTCCAGCCCGGAGAGACCGACTTGCCCATCAAATACATGGTCAAGTGATGACTGCGTAATCTGGTCAACTAGCAACTGAGCAACCTGAATCTGTTCGTCCTTCTGAGAGATTGTAGGTGGGTGCTGATTTTGCGAGACGGAGAAATACCCCAATAAAGACCAGTCAGAAAATGTCGAGAGAAGATTACCCAGAAATGTTGAATTCTCTGCCTTGTTCGCAGAGACCAATTGAGCGTTCTCTATCAAAGGGTTGTCTAGAACTTGTGTTATTGAACCGCTGGTGTTTGATTGAGCGCGTTTCCTCTTGCGTGTCAGGTTAACAGGAGATGGTTCCCTCTCTGACATGACCTCATCGCTGTCATCATCATCGCTGGAGATACTGCTCGAATCCGAAGTAGAATGTAAGCTTCCCTTTGGGCCGCCTGATAAAGCATCCCGTTCACCCGTAACCTTCGTCGGGTTATCGAATTTTACCGCAGCCTTGCCACTGCGGCGAGGAAGTCCGATGGTTGGGATATCGCTTGGAGGATTGACAGACTCCATGGCAGTACTCGTCCCTGGAGCTGAGAACCAGAATCTACCTTCCGCTCCATACTTTTGGTTCCAATCGCCTATGTTCTGCTTGAAAGATACTGGGGTAAAATGACTCTGCTTTCTTTCTCGCTTGACATTTGACTGATCTCCATCGTCTGGTCCTGAAAAGAGGATCTTCTTTACTTCGACGGGGCTGAGAGGAGGACTGATTGGTTGACTACTTTCTTCCCGGGGTGACGACATGCGAATCTCTGAAATTTCCCGTTTTGAGGGAATCTCTGCCTCCTGTTCTGCAACATTAGTCTGAGGCACATTCATCTCTTCAGCAGTTGTCACCGCATGATTATCCGGAAGGGGAACGTCAGGGCTTGGCTGTTCATCGTCTTCCTCCAAGTTAGTCTCCACAATATTGGGAGTGCTCTGAATGTGATCGGTAGCAGGTGCTCCTCCCATATCCCCAAAATCTGGATCATCAAAGAAGCTAAAATCGGCATCTGTTATTCCTCGAGTCCCGAAATCTCGATCGTTCATTTCCCCAAAGAGGTCATCATCTCCGTTCATATCGTATAACCCAGACCCAACTGTGAGCCCTGCGGATGGTCCAAAATCCATAGTGATACCAGAACCAGCTTGCTCTTTGAACGATGCTTGCTTTGGTTTTTGTTGATCACGATGCTGAGTTTGAGGCAATGGTAGGTCTGGCTGATCAGCGAACATATCTGACGAAATCGCCGTAGCTCCGTCCGGCGGAGTCGGATATACAAGATTCGTTGCTTGAAGATCGGGATACTGTGCAATCCGGGAAAGGCTTTTCATTGGCTCAGGGAATTCCGCTTTGGAAGGTGAGATTTCGGAGTCCCTCATGGGTTGGTCTTGAAAGCCCCCAGATGGAGCTATAGAGGTAGCTTCGTCATGCACGAAGTTTCCTGTTACGTGCCATTCCTCTGCGAGCCCCAACGGGCTATCCGCCAGGTGACAAGAATCTTGTTTCCCATAGGATGCATCCAATGCTATTGATTTAGTCCTTCTGAAGCAGTATCTAGCTGGCCAGAGAATACGCTTCAATGGAAAAGCAGTCGGACCTTCTTCACTCTGTCGGAATATTTCTCCAGCCAACCGAGAGTAAAATGGTTCCCAGACTTCGACTTCAATCCACAGTTCTTCATGAGAATCAACCAGAAGACCAAAATTGCCGAGCCACTCAAGTACACTCTGTTTCCATTGTGAACGTTTCGCAGCTGCCAGACCTGAAGTGCCATTACTTCCAGAGGGATTTGGAGAGATGCTATCCTGCGTGCTTGCATTGAATGAGACCAACCTGGCAACTGTTCCACTAGGGGAGAGCCAGATATCAAGACCTGGCTGGGTGTCACGGAGTTCATCGGGATCATTTTTTGGGCTTTGAAGTCGCGACATGCCATGCTGGGCTATTGTTTGTAAGGCCACAGTTAATTTTCCACCAGACATCAACTGAATGTGCAGAGTACTCAAAGAAGGGATCGCGGTGTAACTATCATTAGCTATTCGAGTTTCGTAGCCATCTTTCTCAATGGCAGTGAAAAAGGTGCGTGACCCAAGGGGTATTGCACCGTGGCGCCGCATTAACTGGAGGCTTATTGCACCAGTGACTGCAGAGATGAATGATGCATAGATGGCTGCTGACGTGCCGTATCCTTCTATCCTCCTAGGTGGATTAGGCACATTCTGCGACCTTTGCGATCCCACTGTGTTCACGTTTGGGGCCTGGGGTTCTGTTGAAAGAGTCCTTACCAGCTCCCTGGACGAAACACTTCCCGAAGCCGAAACTGAGGCGCAATAATCAATACATGACGCATAAAACACACGATTTTGAGAGTGGTTGACAAACCTTTCAACGTAAGCGAACCAACCTGAAGTCGGTTTAACCCATCATTACCCTGGTTCAGGGGGGCCAGGCTGTCAAAGTTCGAATTCGGGGAAAAGGCCCATAAGCCAAGGCGTCGCGGATAACATGATACTAGACATCCCAGATTCCGCAGTCGAAGTTCAAGATCCTTGAGGCGACTGAGATGCTTGAGGACAGTATGGCCGTTCGTTGGAGCCTCCGAGGGGTGATTCGTGATACCCGGCTCTTCCGTGTATATTCGCCAGTGTAGGCTGGAGAATCCGTCCTAGTGCACCAGGTTAATAAATTTCCCCCAAGGCACTCCCGAACTACCTACAATAACATGTACATTTGTGATATTCCCGCCGGGAAAGTCCATGATTCAAATGGCTGCCCCGACGGAGAGCTCACGTTGTTTTTTTTCTTAAGATAGCCAAGAAAGCTCTGCGGCTTAAATTTGCTGTCATCTCCAGATGGAGCTGGGATAATCAATTTGCGCGAAAAAACAATTATCCATAGCAGAGCGAGCTCGATGTCTTGAAATAGATCAATCAGGTTCCAGATGTCATCGCTCCACCGGGGTAAGGAATAGTCGGGGTAAGATAAAAAAGGGACCGATGCGAATGAAAAAAGACCCCCAAACCAAGTCGTAAAACTAGAAAAGAGAGACGAGCAACTTGGCTCCATTGACGGAGGATATAGTCATCTTGCGAGGCGCGAATGTTGGTTCCAGGTTTCCCCCGATGCTATCGACGAGGTTCGTTCGGGCCGCTCCAGCCAATAAGAGGCGATATGGAGCAAAAATGTCACGTGCCACTGCTATCGATAATCGCCGAACTTTTTTTTTTTTTTTGTCCGGCATAACATCGCCTTTGAAGTTCACCACGCAAACACCTGGTTTTCTTCTGTTCAATATAACAGAGCCAGGATGAAGCTGTCAAATCAATCGGAAGTTCCGGTATACACCATTTCCGGATCGAATACTGCGCGGCCGCTTCCTGAATGGCTTGCAAGACGGCGAAAGCGCAGTCTTAAGAATGATCCGGAGTATGCGAATCGGGTTGAATTGCTCCAGGATTTCGAGTTCGAGGAAGCTAGTCAATGTGTTCGAGTTAGTGAAGATGGGGAATGGGTTATGAGTACAGGTGAGCTTTGCCATCGTACTTCTACTGGACCGCAGCTGACTCGAGACTGCGTCTTTATACAGGAACCTACAAGCCCCAGATCCATACTCATTACCTACCTCAATTATCGCTCTCATGGGCCCGTCACACAGTAGCCCTTAATACAACATTTATACTCTTGTCCTCCGATTATTCCAAGTCGCTCCATTTGCAATCCGATCGGTCACTCGAGTTCCACACGCCGTCCGGATGCCATCATACGATGCGACTCCCGAGATATGGTCGCGACTTGGCATACGATAGACACTCTACTGAGGCTTTGATTCCATCTGTGGGTGTAAATCCAGATGGCATGGGAGAGGTTTTTCGGTTTAACCTGGAAATGGGACGATATATGCGGAGTTACGAGGTAGATGTTGGCGGCGATGACTTTACATCTTCTGGCGCAGGAGCTTTGCAAGGCGGTATCAATACCGGTGCAGTAAACACAGCAGCGATCGCAGAGGAAAGCCACAACCTTTTGGCTTTCGGAACCACACTAGGCACGGTGGAATTATTTGACCCGAGAGCGAAAGGCAGAGCCGGAATCTTAGTGCCACCCACGCAATTCGCACCCGACGAAGCGAGAAACGAAATCACCGCTTTGGATTTCCATCGGTCAGGATTGACGCTGGCAACCGGTGCCTCTAATGGCCTTATGCACCTCTACGATCTTCGATCCCCCGTTCCTCTACTGAAGAAGGACCAAGGATACGGTTTCCCTATTCACACTTTGAAGTTCCTCCAGCCGTCTACTGCTACGCGCGAGCAGACCCTGGACCCCAAGATTATGTCTTCCGATAAGAAGATTATCAAGATCTGGGACCCACGAGATGGTAGTCCTTGGACTTCGGTCGAGCCAGCTGTGGACATCAACTCTGTCGCATGGTGTAAGGACAGTGGAATGCTCTTGACTGCTAATGAAGGACGACAACAGCACTCGTTCTTCATTCCTCAGCTTGGACCTGCTCCCAAGTGGTGCTCGTTCTTGGACAACCTCGTCGAAGAAATGGCGGAAGACCCCAACGACCCCAACGCCTTCTCTACCGGCCAGACCGGCACTGTTTACGACAACTTCAAGTTCTTGACGGTTCCTCAACTGCGTACCCTGAACTTGGACCACTTGATCGGACGCACGAACCTCCTGCGACCTTACATGCACGGTTACTTTGTGGGCCAGCAGTTGTATGATGAAGCCCGGTTGATCACCAACCCGTACATCTGGGAAGAAGAGCGCGCGAAGAGAGTCAAGGACAAGATCGACAAAGAACGCGAGAGCCGTATCAGAGGCAAGAAGAAGGCCAACGTCAAGGTCAACAAGAGACTGGCCGAGAAGCTCATGCACGTCGAAGAGAAGAATGAGCGCAAGAAGGCACAGCGTGTGCTGGAACGCGGAGGAGACGCTGAAATGGTGGACGCTCCTGCTTCTGCTCCTGAACCTGCCCCTGCTGCTGCTCCCAATGCTCCCCCTGCCCCTGGCAAGAGTCTGTTGGCAGACAGCCGTTTCTCGAAACTGTTCGAGGACGAAGACTTCGCCATCGATGAGAACTCGCACGAATTCAGAATGCTCAACCCCAGCACCGTCCCCGAAGCGGCCCCGAGAAAGGAACGCGGTCTCACCGCAGTCGAACAAGAAGACATCGACGATGTCCCCGGCTCCAGCTCCGACGGATCCGGTTCCGAAAAAGAAAGCTATGCGCCCAAGAAAGAACCGTCCTCCAACAAGATCTCTACATCCTCATACAAACGCAACAACAAGTCCCGCCAGCCCCGGATGCAGGTCTCTTCTTCTACGAATGTCAGCTCTGGTCGCGACCGCTCTTTCGGCTCTAAGGCGCAGAACATGCAGACCAAGTCGAAGCCTTCGCGTCGTTCTACTGTGGTCGGAGAACAGGAGGTTAGTTTCATGCCTCAAGGGAAACAGAGACAGAGGGACAACGCTGCTCCTGAGAGTTCCGGGCGCGACAAGAGCTCCAACTTCCGCGCGAAGGAACGACGGAGCGCTTCTGGAAATGCTTTCCGGAAGATGTGATTTACCAATATATTTTCTTCACCGAGATACCCATCCCTTTCTCCTCCTTCCTTCCACCTCTTTCTTGATACCCTTTACCAAGACCTAAAACATCCGCTTCACCTTTCCACATCATTACGCATCGTGCTATTGTCATCATAGCATCCTCGCCATATGAACCTCACTGTGAGGTACCAGTAAAGCTGTCCTTGCATGGGGTAACGGCCAATACATCACACCCGGATTTGTACGGTCTATACGCGAATGATATCAGAAGACCACCCGCACGCATGCAAAGCGAAAAATGCAAAGACAGCGCATAACCATAACCTTCTCGATCATGGAAAAGTGATCCAATCAATAATCATTATCCCCCGTTGGCGCGACAACTTGTTTGTTTCTGCTCAGGGTCCCGGGATTCCGGGATTTGGATATGAATGAGCCATGTACATATAATATGGAGTTTTGAGTGGTCATAAAAATTTCATAGACATTTTATTTCTCGTTATACCACTTTTCCAAGTACCGTGTAGCAACGTGTTTCTTCGTATAGAGTACGGAGGGCAGGGGTAGGGAAGCAATCGTTGCATCTATTCTATCAATTGATAGGGACCAGCTTAGAAAAGCTTACAGCTTTGTTGGCACTGAAAATACAATACAATCCAAAAATAATCATGGAATGCTTCCAATTTCCAAAAATAGTAAACCCCAGGACAACTGACTCGACAAGAACAAATACATGTTAATCCAAAACTCCCAAGACCATAAAAAATACAGTTGCAATAAAATCCCCCCCCCCAAAAAAAAAAGACAACGTACACCATGTCAGATTAGAGCGCGAAACAACAAATTCTATAACCAACAAGTGACCAGCCCTGAAACCAAAGAAAGAATTCGCAAGTGCCATTTCCTATGCTCCAATTCCCCTGGCGCGTTGCATTAATCGCTGTATTGCTTTGATATCCAGTATCCAGTCTATAGAAGCAGCCTCCCTTGTGTAAATGGCACAATGACGTAAGAAACATAAAACAAAATCACATAACCTGAAGTTGCGAGCGTATCTCGAATGAATCGTAGGAGGGATTGCATAGGCAAGCATAGATCGATGCTAAACCCATAGTATCGATTATGGTAGAGACCTGACGCGAAAAGACGAAAGAGTTGCGAGGAGGGGGGAGTATCAAAACAGAAAAGAGAAAGAAAGATGAAAAAAAGAAAGAAGACAGAAGAGAACCTACTCCATCAGCTGAGATGATGGACAAGCCAAAACATGCCCTGAGAGGATTTGCAGGTCCAATGCTGTCAAGTATAAAACCAAAAGAGCAATTATGACCAGACGTGGAAGCCCGGAGGTCCTATTCCTCGTCTGCCACTTCCGCGCCTCGATCCAGTGCTTCCACTTGGATCAGTGCCATGGTTTCCCTGTCTGCCATCTTCCAAGCTTCGTCGGGATGTGCCAAAATCACTCATGGCGAAAAGCAAAGGTTCTTCCTCTTCGACTGGTGTTTGTTGCGTGTTGGTGCGGCTGGAGCCGGGTCGCTGGCCAGAGCCTCGACGGGCCTCCATCGCGGAGCCGCCGCTATTACTACCACTTCCAATACCATCGCCATGATCACGCTCGGGGAAATTGTGAGGAATCCCGCCTCGAGCAAGACTTCCAGAGCCAGAACTAATGGAGCGGGCTCCCCCAGAGGACCCTCGACCGCGGGAATGGGTAAGCCGTGGTAGGTACATATGGTTATTGGATGAAGACGATGTCGCTGTAGGTCCCGAGTTTAATGCAGTCCTGTGCGAGGCATTGTCACGGTATGGATCAGTGGCAGGGCCTATAGCAGGGTCATCATTCAGGGATGAAGGATGCGTTGCTCTCCGGGGCTGATCATCCACGGCACCGATCTTCCCGAACGAACGATTCTGTTGCATTGCACTAAGGCTGTGCGTAGGCCTGTCCCCAGCACTCACACTACGCATTGGGAAGGGCATGTCATCGTCTTCTTCTGGAACAGATGTTCGAGCAATGGGACCGGAGCCCACATCGGTGCCGCCGGTGTATGCGGGAAGGAAGGGAGACCGGGGAATGTCGATTGCGTTGGTCTGTGTTGTGTCGCCACCCGAATTGTTATCATCAAGGGGAGATCCATGTCCATCGGAGGCAAATCTCTGGGGACCACTCTCTGGTTCATTATAAGCAACAATGCTGTTTGAACTTAGGCGAGATGGAATTGCAGGAGTATGTGGAGTATGGGGCGATACTGGTTTTCCAGGCGATGAGGCCGTGGAGACAGATGTCCCCGCTGCCATTGGTGGAACTCCCGACAATTGTTTGCTTGATGAACTGGATGAGCGATGAAGGTGCAAGGAGGATGACATCGAGTCCGATAAGGCCGCATTAGAATCTCGCATACGTTGGAATCGGTTCAAGGCGGCCGTTGTGGCCGTGGTCCTGCGAGAAGGAGCATCATGCACCGCGGAGCTGGTGGGATTCATCAAATCCTTTCGCAAATCAAGCATCTTGAGAAAT